TCTGCTCATGGCTCCCTCGCATTTGCAGAGAAACACATCAAAATTTCCACTCCAAAAACGAAAAGGGAATGTAGAAAGGTATGGTGCTGTTTACGGTTTAGCAATCCTGGTCAGTCGATTTGGATGAGCCTTTACTTATGACATGAAGCAGCCTGAAGTTCAACAGCCTGACAACAGAAATGCCGAACTTCCCCACACACACATGTGCTGTAAAATATGCGGATTGATGGAAATGAGACAGTCAGAAATCGTCAGCGGGAGAATGCCTGCTTACTGATAGAATGATGGGAAAGACAGTATTCTTTTAATCTTCGTGATACCACTTGAAGAAACTGATCACCCTCATTTCTAATCCTAAAATCTTGTGTGAATAATTGACCAATGTTTGACGGGGCCACTGAAGGTCAATCGGGCTGACGTCACGAAGCATGTCAAGTTGACCGCTTTATACTCCGGAGATCCTAGTAAAGCAAAATATGGCGCCAGTAGTCCCCTCCTTGATTTGAGCATCATCCTCAGTATTACTCACGGAAGTTATTTCATTAGGCTCTGCACAAGTGTCAGCCTTTCTACTTCAATTAACCCGAAATATTCCTTTCCAAAGTTGGCGGTTGTGGATCAAGTGGCCTGATGAATAATTAAATGACCAGGTTGAAGAACTGGCCCTTTTTTGAAGGAAACATCCGTACGCTCGAAAGGTGATGGGATCTACAATATACTGTGGAGTAGAAATGGGTTTTGAAACTTGCTCTGCATCACCTTCGTCATAGGAATCTGCCTTTACCCTGTACCGGACTGTTCCTGCTGGCCAAGGGCAAAGTTAGGAAATCCGTTTATTCGTTTTCTGTTTGTCCAAGGACATATTATGGCATTCTTACTTTGCAAATGGAAAAAAATCTTAACCAAGAAGTATGCTAAACGAAATGCTCGTTCAACTTTTCATAATTTCACACTTTCTCAGCTGCCTTCCTGAACATTATAAAAACTCACCTTCGGTCGTGGCCCTCCTGTATGGTGCCATCACATAGGCCCCTTACGCCTTAAGGACAAGGTCAGTCATTGAATGAATGATGTAATGACTCAGACTTCGTGTTCCACAGCCTTTAATTCACAGTAGCTTATTCTACACCTTCTGTGCTTAGTCACACCTGGCAATATGTCGGTCTCGGCAGCTTGATTATCATCACAGCCAGCAGTTTGTCACAAAGGGAATCAAACAAAGACACGTAGTTTAACATTCACCCCAACCAGAGGATGTGTCCGGTTTGTCAGAGTTACTGTTTGGATTTATGAAATTGGCTAAATATGTAACATCCTACTGGAGGCGACTGCAGCCCCAGGAAAATATTTCTGTTCGAATTTTGAAAAGATCCACTTCATGACCAATCTGCTGACGCTCCATAGTCATACTTACATTCAGTCATTCCAGTCTTATTCATGCCAAGCATTGATGCAGTGTAAGTGTACTGAAAAACCACCCAAAGTCAAAGATCAAGCGATTGCCATAATCCCACGAAGGTGAAGTCACCCACAGGGACTCAGACCCAGGCCGTCTCCAATCACTGGTCACCAGGGCCGTAAGCATTGGCAGTACCTCTTTTTGTCTATTCCTTTTTTACTGCGTTAGTGAAAGCATCTGTTCTGAAGCCTGTGTCCCCTCCTTGTCTGCTTAGTGGTCCATGCCAAGTGACGACTCGGAACATAACTATCGACAAGACAGGTTGTAACACGTCTACTGTCATTTAGGTCTAAGATACCAAGGGCCTAAATAATCCGGACAGTAAAATAGGTGAGTAGTCGCTGCAGTTGTTATGATAAGTAGTGTTTGCATTATTAAAAATACCTAACCAATTACTTTTCCTAGTTTTTTCCTAGTTATTGTTTAGATGCTTGCCAACACCATCTACTCAAATAGGTAACTTCTGGTATGGAAGTGATGGGGCATTGACGGGTGGAGAATCACAGAATGTAAGGTGGATGGGACGTGCACAACCTCGTTTCTGAATGCGCTCCTGTTAAACACAACATACGGGTGTGTGTGTGCGTTTATGTGAGAATTAGTTCAGGAAACGTGAAGTCTGACTTCCCAATATGCTTCGTAAGGCGTCCTCAGAGCTTCGGTAAATCTAAACGAGTCTCACTATGAACACTTTTGCGCTAGATTACCAAACAGCGAGTCATTGAAGTAATCCGATTAGTCCATTTACTGTCTGTCTATCGTAGTCGAGTAAATGCTTATTATCACATCAGGTTTTGTTCCCTTTGTGCCGCACCGTAGCTTGTGTGCGTGTTCTCGCACTCTGCGATGTAATCAGCCCGACATTAATCAGGAGGCCGAGACTTCAATGAGGCGTCTTTGTTTGCCAGCTCGTGCGATAAAACTGGTTGTATAGTGTGCGCGTCGTCGAGAGCCTTACAGAAGGGATGCAAAAGTTGGGCGAACAATGGCTAATGCTGGAGGAGACACCAGAGAGGGTCTCGGCCTCGAGCACTTGAGGTATTTTGATTCAATCAGGCAGTGCGATATCTGTTTAATTTAACCCTAGAAATGGGGCAGGTAGTATCTTGTTTTCAAGAATGAAAGACAATTCTTCTTTCTATTTCAGCCCATTCTCTAAATGCCTGTCCATTCTCATTTAGCATCCAAACTATTTGACTAACCCAGGAAATTAAAAATGGGACTTCTAGATGGCGTTTCTCATATTTTTTTTGACAAAAGGCATTAATTAGTTAGCTATGGTTCCTAGTTGATGTCATTTTTGCAGCACGATTGCGCAGTCGCCCTCATCTGTCACACTGACAACTCAGTCGCTGATAGGACATTTCTTTTTACCCTCCTCATACGGCTATTTGGTAACTCTGGCGAAACAAATTTGTGCGCCTAACTAAATCTACTTCGTGGTTTCAATGCGAAGGCAACCGAATTAACCAATTGTGAGCAAGTTGGCTATAAATAGGTTTACCAGCGTGGAGGCAAAGAGGTCTACTGAAATTGACCTAAGTACTAGGTTACTCTGATTGGCCAATCACGTTTCACCTATAACAGAGCCCCTTGAAATAAATACAAAAACTTCTCCAGCTATGTGCCTGTTAATATTAAAATAATCTTCTTCGAAATTCTCTTTCCTTGTGTCATTACGCATCAGTTTTGCTGATAAAATCATAACTGGCATTGAGTTTTAGCAGTTAGGATGGATGAACAAAAGATTTGCCCCTACAGACATTTTGTATTCAGTTATAATAATGACATCGAGCAAAAAGCACCATAGGTGCATATTTTTGAGTAGTTGCTTTAAGTCAGATATTAACTATTTTTCATCAGTAAGAATTCATCCCAAGGAAAGGTATGTTGCACCGAAAATCTTGCATAAGGGAGATGATTTTTGCAGTAGCGATTATTAAGGTCACTTTTTACTTGCGCATTTCATGCTCAAAGGTACTTTCTAACAGAAGTGTAAATGGCAGGCGTGATCAAGCCTGTCTGTGTCCCACACAACTTAACCCGGCTGGTCGCGCTATCTTATTTTCCCCCTCAATACCGCCTAATGAGAGTTTTTTTGCTATTGCGACATCCAACAATCTGCAATCGGAGTGTGGCATAATTCCTTTCCACACTCTACAGTTGAATGAGCAGGGCGTGGCAAATTAGGGTGCCTTGTGTTGGAGATGCAAAAGTGGAGACCATAGTTGGCATCACACACGAGGAAATGTGATTTCAGTCGCCTCTCATCATCTCATTGCATCTAAAGCTACTTCAGTAACCATTTGGGTCGTGTGTTTAGTGAGTTGTTTCTACCCCAGACCTACAAAACGCCTTCATCGCTCGGGCTCTGGTGATGATGATGATTCAAGATCATCTCTTCGAATTCAATCAACTTAAATTCCAATGTCAGCGCATATTCTTCACCGACTAATGTTTTCCTGTCACATTCAATATCACTACTTATATTTCGTGCTTCTACTGACTTAATATTTCGTTGATTTCTGCAGGTTATTCTTCTCTTATACGGCACAGCCTTCGGGTAGTGCTGGTAGTCTTTAAGCACTTTGAAACGAAGTCTCCTTTAAAAAAGACTTGAAGCGCTACATTTAAAATTATTTTGTCAGAATTTTAAAGCTCATAAATTTACCGATCTGAAAGCACTTTGAGAAAAATCGTAAGGTAGGGCTGGAGGGCCGTAAGCAGTGGCTCGAAAGTCACGTCACGGAGGGAGGTCGAAGTGTCTGTGCGTCGTTAAACACACAAAATACGAGATCACTGCACGGTTTCTTTGGCTTAGCTCCACTTAGTGCTTTGACGGTTAAAATATTTGAGCATGGGGCCTACTTGTGATCTCGATGACTGGAGAGATGTGGCAACCACTCGACAGAGAAGACGAAGTGTCGCATAGTACAGTGGCACTTAGGAATACTTTGCAAACGAATAGGTATGCGCCTCTACTAAAAGAATTGTTATTTTTAGGTTTAGTTGGATCGCATTCTCTTTCCAGCCACCACACTTAAAGCGATGTGCATTTGGCAGTTGGAACAATCAACCCCTTCCGATTACACAGCTTGAGTGGGTATACTCGCATTATTCATTACGAGGTGTAACAGTCTTCAATACTTCCGTGCTTGCATGGGGACGACGTACGTATAGCGATTCGAGGGCAGCTTGACTAATGCTACCACTTAAGACTCCTTACCTATCTATCTCCAAGAGGAATTCCAACCGACCAAGAACCTGCAAGTCTACAAGCACATTTGTGCCACATGCGCTAACTTCTACCAGCTTTCATAGATAGTCTCCAATGCTTTTCCAGTTAGAAAGAGGAAGAGCCCATCATCTGGCATTTCTGGTGGCATTGCATAACCCACAGTCACGTGGGTAAATTGGACAAGTAGTTAGTTAGCTAGTTGATGGTTAGTTCGTTAAAAGGACATGCCTCCAAACATGTACCTCGAAATCCACGCCGAAAGAGGGTTGTGTTTGAAGCAGAAGTATGGCTGGTGCGTGGAATTCAAGGCGCAATAAGAACATTTAGAGCCGTTTTCGGTACCCTTCCGCGTGCGAAACTCTTGTTCATTGCCATAAAGTAGGAAACGTCGCGTTCGAAAAGGAGGTAAATCACTTCACCAACCTTAAAGGGAGCACGTCAATTAAGTAGTATGGAACGTAATGAGGGTAGTATGTGCTAAAAAGGGCTGATCTATTATCGGTGCTGAAAATTACCGCAACGGAGAGATCGCCATCGGTAGTGCCGACAAAGTCCTTAATGACCTCGGCTCGTGGCCTGCGCTGCAACACCTGGGCCAGCTCAAGCGTGGAGCTGATGAGGCGCGCGTACTCACTGGGCACAACCACCGGCTTCCCTGACCACGTTTCACACTCGAGGTATCCATTCGCAGGCAGAGGAGGAGGCTTGCTTTTGAGGTACTTTGGACCGTAATCCACCCACCGCACTATGTCATTATTCTATCAACACAAATCCAAATTAAGCCACTTGCCATGGACAGGGACAAACTAACCAGCCTAAAGCAAGATTAGACAAAATAAGGTGGCCATGTATGCAAACCTTTCAAATGCGCGCCTACCTTAAATTCTAGTGCCAGTGGTTGCTCTGTTTCCGGAATATTCTCGATCATCAACCACAAGACCCTTCTAGCTGGGGCTTCCGCCTGAACACATTCAACAATGAACACAGACAATTAAGAAGTCTCAAGTTCGGCTCAGCAACGACAAGCGGTGCGCAGGAGTAACCAATTCGCATCAACGATCAGCCAGACCAACAAAGACCACGCATAAAGCATAACAACGAATTCAATTTGGAAGCTTAACGAAGAAGTTGCACAACTTACCGCTGAAGCCTCTTTGGTGGACGATTCTGTTGTAGCCGCTTTAGAACTGAGTAAAATAATGCTGACATAATTTCTGCTTTAAGAGGTTGCATGCATTTTTGTGGATTTATGAAGCCTAGACTGAACGTTAAATGTGGCGTTTTCCAGGTTATCACGAAACACTTACGGCACTGCGTCCAAATTTTGGTTTTCCTAAACGATTTTTAAAGCGGACAGCAGTATTAATATCCCATGCGTCAAACAAGGAAACGCTGCAACTTTCACGGGATGCAACTGTAATTGCCATTTGAACAAACCAGTCACCTCGAAAATGGTTGCAAAATCGACAACCATATAAAAACCACATTTAAAAGTATTTATTACGCAGCAGTCCTCTTTACCTTGACAGGTTTAAGTGCAATTAGTGCTGGACTTGATGCGCCCTCATTTTGGAAGGAAGCTGTTAATCCTGACCTTCGGAGTGGTTGCAGATGGCACACACTCAGAAGTAGGTGCATTACACAACGACTTTTTGGGAGCATCAGACAGGCTCATTGGCAAAGAAAGGCCATTCTTTCAAGCAGATCTTCTTTTAAGTAAAGCGAGTCTGACGGACTAATGCGCACACCCTATATCATGTGTTTTAAGTATCGGTGGTGTGTTCACTCCCTCATCGACTATTGTACCGTAGACACTAACAAATGGGATGAGATATTGTGCCGACAGTGTTGCATAATCCACAATTTCATTTTATCATCTACGCTCAAAAATTACTGACTTACATCATTGGGCGATGCAAGCTTTTCTAGCCGCTGACGTAATTCAGCAAATAAGCCACCCAACAGAGCGTCTGGGTTAGTAGAAGCCGAACCTTTGTCTTTAGGCGGCATTGACTTTACAGGCGCATCATCGGAGTCAGATTCATTCGTTTCCGAAGAGCAGATCGACGGAGACTGCAACAGATTGTGCATTGATGAATCTCCTCACAGGAGAGTTTCGTTAAGGCAAATACATTCACCGCATCTGAGGGCGCATGATTCGTCAAGCTTGCATTCCATCTCCGACGAATCAAGAGAATGAAGTAAAACAGATAAAGCAAAGAGTGTTTATGTTTAAAAAAAATATTAAAATAAATTGTTGCCGGTTCCTGAAGCTTGGCTATTTAGTTAAAGAAAATTTTGTCTCTAAATAGTAGGCCATTACAGAAAAAGGGCCAAGGTAAAAGGTCTGATTTAGTTTGTGAGAAATCTATTCTCCACAGAAATGATGTCCTAAGATGAAATTTAAAAATAATTTATTTTCACTTACCCTTGAACTTGTCTGGGATGTAAGTGTAGTCCGACTGCCTGATGTTTCGTTGTTAATCTTGCTAAAAATAATATAAGAGGATAATTATTATTTCTCGCTGCCCCCCACCAACAAAGAAACAATGACACGTTGATTTGAAAGGCTACACAAGCATGCCAACAAATGGCAAGGATGAAATATTTTGCGGGAATAATACTGATGGTATTTTCCCTTAAGAGGTTATATTCATTCGAGGCTTTAGGAAACCTTAGCTGGGCATTACGTGCAGTGCTTTCAAGGCTGTCGCAAAAGCTTACGGTGCTGCTGCAGGCGTTGAAGAGTCCTGAAGTGATTATCCAAACTTTGTCAGTTAGAATGTTTCCACTCCCTGTGTTGTGCCAATCTAACCACTTGGTTTTCACTCTGTCGTATCATTTCCCATCTACCTATTATCTCGATAATGCAGTAAACTACTATTTGTTTGACTGTGGCTTGAACTACATGGGTTATGCATCTCAACTCTTCTGGACGTTCGTAGGTAGTATGATCTGACATTCAACTTCGAAGGAGACTCGAGACATTACAGGCAATAATCATGGAGGTACCATTTACAGCAATGAAAGACAAATTAATTGGTAATGTGTGCGGTCAAGATATAAGAGCAGCATACCTTCTGTGTCCTAAAATAGAATTTTGCAATTATTTTCATGTCAGCATCAGAAAACGCTGAAGTAGGTCACATTGACGTCATTTTTATTAGTCCGACCGCCACAAAAAGAGACCAATGTGTGGACTCTATTGTACCGTCGATTATGTTTCCAACGGAATACCGTATGATGGAGAAGTTTACACAACAACCAAAGAACTGACACCTCTTCCAACTCAAGCCTCTGTGATTTAGGCACTCTTTAAAAGCACTTTTAGTGCAATTTTGGTGTGCGAGCATCAAACAAGTCTAAACCACATTGTCGTCTGCGTCGGGATTTTTTACTACATCTTCGACAGACAATGAAAGTAATGAGTGGAGGATAAGAATCGTAGGCCCACTTTTTGTCTTGTCTTTCATCCTACAAAATTGCAAAAAGGAGCATTAAGTGATCAAATTTTTTACAGAATGATGCTGAAGCAATTAAAGGGTAGGCAAGGTAAAGTTGGGCTTGCAAGGGTTTGACAAAGAGATTTTGCAGCTTACCTTTGAGGGCTTTCTGAGCGGCAGTGGTGGTGGAATCCCACTAAATCCGAATATAACGAAGCTGAAGTTATTTCCACTGTGAGAGATTATATACATTAGGGTGAATATAAACCTTTCAATGAACCTTTGAGGACGGGGTTTCCAGGTTTTCTGCTGAGGCCTTAATATAGGATCTTCGTTTTTGTATGCATTGTCATCTCCTGGATTATCATAAATCCCGCTAAAAAAACCAACAAAAGCAATAGTGTTTTCCTCCATCCCTACCCCTGAAAAAAGCAATGCTACGTTGGTAGAATTAAAGACGTAAATACGCTCACGAGTGGCATAAATAAGGTGCATTAGAAGAATAATACTGATGCTATTTCCACTGCAAGAGATTATATGGATTGGGGGGTTTAGGAAGCCTCAACCGAAGCTTTGGTGCAGAGGGTTCCAGGTTATCATGAAAAGCTTACGGTCCTGCCTCAGCCTTTCCATGGACCTAAAAGAGATTTTAAATAGGAGACGACAACACCAAAACGCTACGTTTATGTGTCCAACAAGAAAATGCTGTAACTTCTATTAGATGTAAGCCTACCTACTATTTGAATAATCTGGTCAGTTTTAAAAATGGAGGGAAAATAGACAACTATATACAAGCAACATCTACTCATGTGCTTCCTAGTAATTTTGTAGTTTTGTCTGAGTTATTATATAATTTTGACTCCTACCGAAAAGTGTTGGCCGCCCGCCGGTCCCATTGCTTCGGCTGAGGGTGTACTATATGGATGGCTGAAAAGAACAACTTCCCTCTCCACCCAAAAAATAACAGTGCCACCTTAGTATGGTTAAAGAAGCAAGTATGTTCACGAGCGGCATAGGATACATTGAAGGGAAAAAATGCTAACGTTATCTCCCCTTTAAGAAGTCATATGCATTCGGCGGTTTAGGAAGCCTTACCTGAACTTCAGATGTATGGATATGCAGGCTATAGTGAAAGCTTACTTCGGTACTTCGCGTTCTCGGTGCTGCTGAAGTGGATAACCAAGTCAGAGCATAACAATAATGCACAACTTTCACGTCTTTAACGAGCAAAAACAGCAACTTCTACTGGATTTAACCATAACCCTTAGTTGACTAAACTAAATATTTTGCAAATAAAGGCAAAGTAGACAAATATGTCCAAGCAACATCCGAAAATACCTATTTTATAGCAGTCATATAGGTTTTAGTAGAGCTGTTAGAAAAATTGTGTATGCTACACAAAAAACTTGCCCCATCTGCCGAACTCGTTGAGGTGTTGAACGTAGAATAGAGATGACTGAAAGTGTAGCAAAAATATTAATGTTCTCGTCCCCCTCTCCCTCTTCCTCCCGAAAAACAATGGCAGTTTGGCATGGTTAAAAATGGCAATGAGTATCACCAGTAAAATGCACTGAATAAATCTTGCCTAAAAAGCAATGAGGAAATTTTGAAGTCTAACTGCAGCATTCATTAGCTAATGAATGCCAAGAGCAGTTCCATTCCCACATCTTGTCTTTCTCGAAATCCTTGAAATTTGATATCATTTTTCTATCATAATAGCCATTTTGAAATTGATAGAGCAGAGAAGTGGATCTTTGTGATTCTAGCGTTTGCAAAGACGCAAGCGCTATTTTTGGAAAATGGGTGTGACACTATGAAAGATATTTGTTAGCGTTTGTCAATTGGACGAAGAGGATTCAAGATGGCACGAAATCCTTCAACAACGAGGCAAAACCACTTTGCGCTCGGCACAAGTATCCAACCCTAGAGGTTCACGCAAGACAAATTATAACCTGAAAAGTCTTGAGGTGGGTATTTTTGTAAGTAGTCAACAAAAAGTGTTCAATGTTTGAAAGTAGTGTTATCCGAACCACAATTTTCTATGTGCATGAGAAGTAATTTTATGATATAAGAGATTAATAGGCAAGCTGAACTTACTCACAATCCTTTTTAGCAAACAAAAAATGATATTTTAATAATTTTGAAGAATACGACTCAGCTAACAAGAATTGAAACACGCAATAAAGTAGTTGCATTTTAAGTGAATCATTTTCGGGTTCAAGCAACAAAGCTGGTTGTCTTTGTTACTTAATGGGCAAGAAGTGATGAGAAACTGGCACCGTCATAACTAATCAAATTTGATGCACAGAAATTCAGCAAGACAACTGTTGCTGTATCAATCGTTAACTTATGCGTCAATAGGGACATAGCATCATTCAATATCGAAAACGTAGGGTCATTTGGGAACCTGCTGCATCTTTGATTCACTCATCAACACAATCAAGCTTTAAAACCCCTTTTGAGTGCTGTGGATTATTAATGCACATGCCCTAAATGCTAAAAAAACTCACAAGAAACCTTTTTAACTGGATTTGCAATGCAGACAGGAAGGAATTACACCAGGTTTGGGTGAAAGTGTACATTTTTAGTTTGCATTTGAAGAGGAATTGTATAGAGCACAAACAAAGAACACCGTGCTGAAGGATTAACGCTCTTTGTTTTAATCGAGGCAATTAGGTGATCTAACGACTAAGAGAGCAGATTCGCAAACCGGTATGCAGTTTAAAAATGGACAAATAGTAGATATTTGGAGGAACGTACTTCATTCTGTGCAGGCTCGAATTTTTCTTTCTTTCCTGAACGAAAATCGTGGTATTAGTTTATAGCAATTACATGCAACAACTTGAATGATCAAAATACCTTTTTTGCCTTTGCTATTCTTAGCTTTACTGAAAGATACAAAATAAATGCTTTCTTTGAGTTTCCTAATAAAAAATTTCCCTATTACGGAAGGGTGACTTAAGGTAGTAAACTAAAAAACGTACATTCCCTCAGCCTAGAAGTTAAAAACACACATTGCTACATAAAAAGTAGGCAGATTTATAAAAAGGACTTTACGTAAGTAAGTTAAGTTGTATGATAAGGTAGGTTATACGATAAAACCCGACTTGCCTCATCCTTTCGCCTTCCGTCTTTCTAAAAGTGTCAGAGTTACTCATCAACTAGCAGCTATTTCCACTGTTAGTATGTACCTGTTAAAGCGCAACATTTCTTATTGAAATATCTTTGTACTCATATTGTACCGTGTAATGTTTACGACTGATTACTTAGTGGTAAACACACCTGGTGCGCAGTGCGGGTTTTTCTGGTACGTTGTTGATAAAGTGTGCAACAATGACATGATAGAAGTTGCAAACAATATTAGGATATTGATATGACAATTGATGAACTGAAAAATAAAACCTTACCCCCATCCTTCGGCTTTACAATACAATTCCGCTCTGTACAATGACCCACACAAGGTGGCCCATGTCAGAAGAATAAAACAAACCAAGTACTTATTGGTTGAGCTTCAATTCTTAGTACCCTCATTTTTAAGCCCAACCTAACACTACATCATATTTATTCCCGCTCATTAAGTAGGGAAATTACGACTATTTTTGCAGTCTACTGTGATTTAAACCCTTTGACTCGGCGCGTGGACGCATCACGATAAGTCATTTATTTTGCTCAATTCACTAATACATTTATAGTCGCGATTAGTATATAAAATATGTATACTCTATTTAAGTGAATTCGTGCAAGGCCTCACTTTGCTAAACTATGAGTGCGCTTCGGTTTTAGCAGATTTCAATTCTGCTCTGCTACACGAAGGCTCGGACACGCTGGTAGCTGCGTAACCACTCCATATATTAAAAATGCACGTCTACTGTGATACTCTTGCTTGGCAAACATAAGGGAGAATCGAGTGTCACATTGTTGATGATAATCTGGAAAGTTGCTTTTTGAAACCAGTTTATTCTCTTTCCTGAAAAATCTCTGAATTTATCAATTTGCCAAATAAGGAGTTCTCGTGGTTAGATCTGCATAGAAACAATTGTCTTTTCACTGCTTTATACCCTTATTCCTGATGACATTTTATTGCTGCCACCTTGGGACAACTTTTGCCTTGATATGGAACAGTAATGCATACTCTATAAAGTTATCGTAATGATTTGAAAAACAGCTTTACCGCTTTACTCTAAAGAAGATCTGATGCTCCAAATTGTCAAGTAATGTGCCTCACGGTATACCTCTGTTCATTTTTTATTCCAGATTCATAGATGGTGGGTGGTTCCTGCTCTGGTTCATGCAAGTTGTAGTTGTAATACGATAGTGGTTTATCCCTCGGCTCTGGTGAGGCGCCACTTTTGTACTTCGAATTAGCCCCCTTGTACCTCGCTGGGTAGGCTGGCCTTTTGGGCCATGCCATAGCCCAGACACCTTCTCTACGCTGAATACATATTCTGCCCGAGTATTCTATCTTCCTTCGGCTTCGGGGAGTCCCGGGACGCTACAGTAGTAGTCCGTCTAGCCCATGTTCTGTGAAGCAGATCTTTCTGTAAATTCAAATAATCTGCCAAGTTGATCGCAATTCATGTTGTAAAGCAAATGTTTTTTTACATCGTAGTACATGCCGTAGGGCATGATTTGAACGCTGTCGGCACCTGACCTGCCCAAGCCCTGAATCAATAATTTGGGGTGGTGAGATAGTATTCAGTTAATGGAAAAGAATGGAGGCACAAGAAGCGGCCGGCAAAGTGGCCGAATGGGCTTACCGTAATCATAATGGCCTGCAACCGTTTGTAGCATTCGCTGGTGATTATGCATCACCTGGGCGTTTGCACTGCAATATCCCACCACTTCATGTATCAGCAAAAAAGTCAATCGTCCCCACCACTGCCGCTTCTCGCCCAATGAAGTGGCATGGCTACAACGGGTCAAAGCCCTTCTTCACTCAGCAGCCGATACCAGGTGGTGAAGCCCTCCTTCTGACCGGCGGCTAAGTGTTACATCGCAGCAGCACCAACTGCATTACGACCGAGCAAACCGACCTTCCGCCGGCGATGGCCGGAAGCTTGCAGTGCAAGAGTGTAAACGTTGTCGTCAGACCAAACCAAGATAGTGTGAGGAATGTGGCCCTTCCGGAAGCACATCCCAGTCAGATTGAGTTTCCGGATTCACGGGTGTGGAAATTCGACGGAAGGGATCATGTATTTCAACAAACGTCCTGTTGAGTGGAGGACTCTCCATAATTCCTTCTTTTGTGTGGTTACTATTATAGTAACAGTGGCTTAAACCACGTACCTATTAGATTCTTGTTTTTTACTCGTAAAATGCATCTACCATCGGAAGGCTTCAATGGAGTTCTCTGGTTTAGCTTATAAACTTTTAATTCAGGAAGAGATATTGAACTTGCTTCAAATACAATCCATTAAAAAAATTATTTAAACTTGCAAGTTTGTTAAAATAACAGAGGAAGTTGTGAGGTATTTGAAGTGCAGAAGAGCTTAATAAACCGTCATGGGCCGAAGACCATGCCCCTGGGCAAAGTCAAATGGGTGGAGACTTAAAAATTTGCGCAATCAACCGCACAGTTCTACAAACTATCAAAATATTACAATAGTATAACGTATCGATTAAAATTGTCATTTTAGTATTATTACTCTTATTTATTTTACGACAGTGTTATGCGATGGTTGTTTGTCTCTCTGTTTTGGTGGGGAGCCATTTTTGACTTAATCAGTGTACCACGCTGGGTGCGCTGGCTCTCGGGCCACGCCAGCAGTCCCAGTACGTTCCGTATATTCAAACCAAGTATTTTGTCTTCTTTTGTCTTCAAGCCCTTTGATAAGGTAGCCAAATATATAATCCCTCAACTTCCTGTAAATTGTGTGCAAAATTTATACCATATAGCTGTGGAGGCTTTTACCGGTAAAAACATGATTAACCATTTTCCTCCAGCATGCTTAACTTAAGAATTTCATGTCGTCGTAGGCAATCTCACACCTTTTAGGGTATCAATTAAGCAAAAATTAAAAGCTATTTGTACGACTTGCTCTTTGTAAGGAAAATTACTCTTTATCTCTTGGAGATAAAATGATAGCATTAGTGTGCCATTTACTAATGTCCTGCAAGTTTATCTGCCATAACCGCAGTATTTTGCTTTGATTAATCACAAGAGTACACGTTTTATGAATGTGTTTACTATTCCGCCAGAATATTTTTTTGGGTTTATTTAATCATAAGCCGAATTTTGAAATTTCTTCTTTAATGTGATTGGCCTGTTTTAGTAAGGGTGTGTATTAACTGGTAGGTCGCGTCGGAGGCGCTCTCCGCTCTTGAGGATTTTTTCTTCTGAACTTTTCAGTTCTCATAGGCGTTATTCTTAGTCGGTACCCTTTCTTTTAATTCTTCTTACTTCCAGAATTGGAATTTTTTGGTTAAATTGATTCCTCTCCTAAGTGCGTTAGCTTATTTCTAAAATATTCTGGTTTTATAATTCCCTATTCCTAACTTCATTTTCGTTATAGTACTGGTCGGCAGTACGATTTATCAGAATCTATCCGGTTTCATGTACTAACCTATTTTTTCTTTGCATTTTGTGTCCTGGGCGACTTCGCTGTTTGTAGTTTAACATATTTGCAACACTTACCATTACTTATCAAAAATAACCCTTAATATCACCCTTAGGACCTCCAAGACTTCTTTTTGGTTGAATATATACAATTGGGGTTTCTCTTTGTGAAATCCACATTTTTAGATTTGCATTCATCGCAATAAACCTATTCTTAATGCTGCGTTCGCGTTCTCATCCTTTTGCGATGTTAGTGGTATGCTTCAGTTTGTCTGCTCCGATTGTGTTTATCTAAAGAGGGTACGTTGTGGTTGGTCTCGAAATTCTTTAGGTAGTTCAATCGGGAATTTATTGTTGGGTTCACATCAAAGTGCATTGACTGTGTTCCAAAAGAACTCAGTTTCATATTCGAGCACTGCTTGAAAAATAGCTTTTCTGGAATGCGATTTTGGCACTTCAAATCATCCAGTTGCTCCTCCAACATTGTCAACAGGGTGATAATGGCACGAATTGCGCATGCGTTCATCAGATTTGGAGTAGCTTTTCTCAAGGTCGAATATTTACGCCCATGAATAGCGGATGTGTTGGACGATTACGCTTATGGATGCGAAGCAGACCATGAATGTGCTCCTCGGCCAACCGACTGCAACTGGTGGCCCCTACCCAATTCAACTCGCATTTCCTAGCATTTTATGGTCAATGCTGTAAGTATTCAATGCTATTTCAATGTAATTCAACTGGTCTTGTGTGACCTGTTCTGTTTGATCGGCCCTCATCTGTACTTCGATGGGCTATTTCAAGCAAGCACCAAATTGTTATGCGTCCAACGCTGAGCGAAATGAGTAGAATTATTAGTCGTACTGTTTCCGCGCATACTGGGTGGGCACATGTAAGAACACATTGAATGGATCGTGTTGTGTACTTCTTTTTCCTCTGCTGAACGTCGTTAGTACGTCTCATGAATTTGCATGCGTTGTAAATTGAGCTGTCAGCGTAAAACTAAACCATTCGTATTATGTTACTAGGATGTAGTTGTAGAGGTTTCTTTGTGAGAATTGATCGTATGAATAATGAGGAGGCGGCAGGTTGGATTGATGGAGTTGTGGGCGCACCCAACACTAGAATATGTTTTTCTGAAGAATTTGTCCCAATGTACACGCAGGTGGCTGCAGTTTGGGTATTTAAAAAGTTCTGCCGTTGCGTGTGAAGCGGCACGACGCTAAGTATTGTGACTTGATGGGGTATTTATGAAACATTTGCATGGAAGTCGGGTTTGGATACCATCGGTTGAAAATCAGCTGAGGGATGACATCCAAACAAGGGATTTTTATATCCATGCAGTCAAGATGTAGAGGGTCATGAATCAAGCATAGAGCTGAGGTAGAGCAGTAGGGTAGATATTGCCGTGGGACTTTGAGCAAAAATTCTTGCACTACATGCGAAGCAACGGAAGTTACTGCCGATTCTCCCTGTTTCAATTCACTATTCTTTACTCAAATTTGCGATCCTTTTCAATGGGATACGAGCACGTAGATTCAACCTTTATAAAATAACCCGTCTTGAGACAGTTTTACATGATATCTGCAATATGTCAAATGTCACTTGTTGGCCAGGGTATGCCTTTATCACCTAGAAGCAAAATACACTTGCGTGCCTCATTTTCATCAGCGTCTCGTCTCATAATTCGTCTGCGTTGATGCTTCTCCATTCTGCTGCTTGCTTTGTCCCCTTCGGCTGTACTGTGGACACGCACCGCCTTTCCCACATGGAAGTGATAAATACTTTCGCGAAATTAGTGATCGGGGCTTATTATTGCCAGTAGATGACAATTTGGTCACACTGGTGAAGTAGGCGTAGCTGGTGTGTGTCGTTTATGTTGCAACGTCTGCTTATCCTCCTTATGATACATTCCGCGTTAGGTATTTTTCCCTTTTTCACTGCCACCAGCGCGGATGCGGCTTCCACTGTACTTCCACCCATTTTCGGAAAATCGACATCGGACTGAATGCACAAAGTTTGTCGTTAGGCTGTATACAAGGCACGTCGAACAATCACGTGGAGGCCTCCGACCTTTTGGTATGCGAGTAATTGTGAACAAGAGTGTGGGAATGTTGCGGTACCTTTTAAGACCTCATCAGTTGGTCCATGCACCTAATGTACATGGAAAGAGAAGCCTAAACCTGCGGAGAAGTTGCTTTCTTAATCCAAAACAGGTGTCCCGTCTGCTTTCCTAGCCTCGTAGGTATAGCAGTTCCAGAAGTGCATGTGGCAAACATGTTTAGTCGAATACCAAATTCCGTAGATTTGATGACGCCTTGGAGGACTCTCCGCAAACACTTGCTTCACGGGACTTAGCAAGAGAAGTCTGGAAGTCTACTTAAGCACTGCGATTAATGATGGAACGAGTTGGGGTCTGAAGCATAGCACTGTGCCTGTCATCCGTTGGCAGGTTTCGCTCATTGACCAGATGCCTACTTCACACCCTGCTCTGTGAACCCATGCCACACCTTTCAACCCCTTCACCATCGCAAGTGGTAGAGGTCTCTCTCTCTGTGGAAGTTTAAACCGCACGATGCCTGACTTGCACGTGCTAGATCCAATCTTTTCGAAGTCTGTTGACGAAATTCAACATCCACTTCACTATCTGCCGTCGGCATTGCCGGGGTCGGGGGAAAGTGTTGAAAATGCAGAGGAATCAGATAAACTTATTTATAAAACAAGAAGTATGCTGTATAGATTGGCCGGAAAATAAACAAAGGATTAAGCTGTCTGTTTCATCAGCTCGCAGTCTTAATCAACAAAATTGACTGATTTTTTAAAAGAAGACAAAAAGGAGCTCAAAATTTATTCAAAATGCAACTTAACCGCATTGAATTGAGGCCGATGGAAGATATTTGCAATGCTGTCAGTAGTCAAGCCGCAAGAAATGCCTTCTTTTGGAGTGAATGTTAATGCAAAGTTTGCGCGCTTTTTCTCGTTTCGTTCATGTGAACTCCGCCCGAAAGCGAGCACATCACAAGTTGGCAATCGGACTCACTGAGTGCCACCTTCCGTGTCTATGATGGAGCGACTTCCTGGCATTTTGCAAACCGAAATTTGCAAATATCTCACCGCCGCGGATCTTGTAAATCTTTGTGAAGCCATGCCCAGCATTAAGCAGATCCTCGAATCTGCCACTTTCAAACGCATTTTACGCAATTATGTGAGCCAAATGGACTGGCTGGACACAACACTTTACCGTATGCTGTCTTCCACACTTACAAACGCAAGGGTGGAGTTAGAGACAGAGCTTTTGTTTAAGACTGTACAATACTACATACAGGATTCCCGATCGCATGTGAATTACCTGAACCAGGACCTACTTAATCAGCGCAAACCCATCCACTTTTTGGTACTCGGCAGTGCCATGTCCAATACTCCCATTGCCGCTTGTTTTCTCAACACCCTCCATGATTGGACCGATGAGCGTGGAAGAGGCATACAGAAAAATCGTTTCATTCACAACGGACTTACGAGAATTGTGGCCTCCATATCTACTTTTGATATTTATGTTGATATCTATACGGCATTGCTTGAGAATGAGGAGTATCTTGAAGCGTTTTATCAGACCTCCACCATCCACCAATACGACTGCGTGGTGTACGTGATGAATTCCACGACCCAGTGCCGTATTTGGCGCCGTTTGCCATATGGCTTGAACCGCATCATGACCAACATCACCACCAATGCCTCCGATCCAACACTTCGTTCTCCAGTGCTGCTCATTCTGGACACGAAATTGGAGCAGAGAGAGGAGGCAACGGCCAGCTGTGGCCATTTTGATTGCCTATTGCGCAATCTCCGCAGGCTCGACGATGGTCGTTTTCCAGGCTCTCCATTGAGTGCTACGGCATCGCACCGGTGGAGAGTGTGGTGTCTCCACCACCAAGGCGAGATGTTCGTCAACATGTATGAGGCGTTTCGATGGGCTGTGTTGGAAATTGCCGCTACCACCACTGGATCGAGCCGCCACCACCAAAGTATGCAGTCCAACAACGTCTCAGCGCATTCGTCTGCACAGTAACTTGGGCAAAAACCGTGTCCTTTTCATGCTTGTCCGTTTATCCTTTAATGTGCTCTATTGTGGGGCCTGGGAGTGGATTCCGAAAAAAAAAGAACGCAACCCACTATTTCCATTGTTTATCTATTACCAAGCGAGGTATAAAAGACAAGGCTAGAGATCCAATGAAAGTGTGTGAGTGCAAGTCTACAGGGAAAGTGAATGACTACCCATCAAGTTTGCCACCTCTTTAAGTATATTCCCATTTACTTGTGGAACTCGTTTCCATTTGGCTGCTCCTGGAATGTAGCTTCTAGGTAGCATAGTAGAAATATCATTTTATCTAGTAGAAGTTTGCAATTATTGTCAGTATCCTCCAGATGCGGGTCAGGCGAAGAAACAAACTCATTTTACAGTTATTACCAACTGCGTTACATTTCTTACAAGGGAGTGAAGACTGGATACCCACTCGTAGAGGAGACTCAAAGACGAGTTTATCTGTGAGAAGTTTGACCACGTTCAAATAGTGTCAACTTCTTGTAGGTGGTCCCAGGTGTCCCAGCTATGATCCATACATGACGCAATGAATTGCTGGTTGCATGGGAATAAATTCTACATGTCCTCGGGTCATCGGTGAATGGAAAATTCATTTCTTAGCAATCAGGGTACCAAAGGTCATTCGTACATGTGCAGCAGTACAATTAAGCCTTATTGATGTGCCATTTGTAAAGTTACATTTGTTCCCCCCCTTTGGTCACGTCTGGGTCACTAAAGGGAATGGTATCGGCAAACACACTGTCCGAGTCTTGCAAGTCAGCACCTGCCTTCAAGCTAGGGCATGCCGTTTTCTCCTACAATAACAAGGCTGTCTCCTGATTCCATGGAAGTGTGGACTTAAAATTATCAAATGCGTTGGGTGCGTCTAAGTCTTTATCTACCGAAACTCAATCACCGCTTTTACATCTCCGAACCCAAAGTCTAGCCTTCCTGGCTTCTGAGAGCTGTAACAGATCTTCGAGCAAACAATTAGGTCACCTGATGCCTCCGGACATAGTGGAGGAATATGCGGTTGAAAGATCAGTGGGACAGGCACCACATCGCAGTTGGCCTCTTTGACGCCTAATTCGTAGCTTGAACAGCTCTAGTTGAATCAAATTGAATAATACCTACAAACTTTTGTCTAGCGGCCATGGAAACAAAGACACTGCGTCGCGATACATGAAGCCTGTTGGGTTCAACAGAAGGGCGTGGTACAAGAAAATATGCAAGTAGCATGTGGCTCAACATAATTCGCTGTGCCTAAACAAAAAGATTATTCCAATGGAAATGGAAAATGCTGAAATTTTATCCCCGTTTATGCAAAAGCATTGGGGTTTTGGATTCGCTATCGCTCGCACAGAATCTAAACCATGGACGAGCTTGCCGCATAGCTCACGATGACTTGAATCTGTTTCCCCAACCACCTGATCAGCAGTCGATGTTGACCCGTTTAAAGGTCAGCTGAACTCCACTGAAATTTGATCGGATGCTGAGTTTACCTCCATTCTGACGAATCATTCAAGGTGGTGGCACCTTGATCTGCAGTCGCTGTTGAATAGTTCACGAGGTCCATGACTGCCCGGCCAGGTTTCGAATATCAAGTGCTCTCCATAAGCCAAAGAGAAGAGCAGCATGTGCTGACGATATGGTGTGAGAGCAGTGCCTCCACCTCTGAGTGTGCCAAAGGCTCTTCTTTATCCGATGGCTCAGCAGAAAAGAATTTCACAGGTCCCCTGGTTGAAGCGATTGGTGTGTTAGAGCATCACGTGACATGACAACCCTCCGACTGGATCGCCTCCTTTAATAATGGTTTTGGAGAAATACGTTAGAATACAGAGGAGTTTCACGTATAAATGTTTACAAACAGAGTACAAATTTTTGAGGTACTAAGAAGGTATCCTCAATGAAGCCTTTGACCTCCAGCAAGCGACAAAGTCGTCTCTCTGCAGCCTTCACTACTTCCTTAAGCAAAGATTCCAGCAGCAGATGCACTATGAACCTATGAACTTTACAATGTCTGTACCTACAGGCTATAAAAAGACTCTCTCCCACTCAAATGACCGATGATGCATTCCAATGACTTCGCTATTCCACACTTCATGAATTTCGTGCAGTTACTGGTACACGTATTGCGTTTTTGAGATTCAGGCGCTCCTTAAATTTAACCTCTCAACTCTTACGAGGCAGTAGCGATTCCCCGATTAACTGGTCCTTTTTCACAGCAGACGGTGGCTCCGCCACAGTCCAGTACATCGACAGCCGCTTTACCAAGCTAAACTCTCTTATAAATTACAAAATGTTTTATCGAAAAAGAAACATAATAAAACACTAAATAAAGTCTACTGTTTGTCAATGTGCCACAATTCGAGTTTTCCAGTGACCGCTTTGGATTTGTTTACGACTAAATATGTGTGTGACACGGAGACTTTCCTGAAAACGAAGAAAGACATAATCCTCGGGCATGATGTGTTTCTTGACACACAGTAGGGCCTGAAGCTACCAGGTTAGCCCAGAAGCCAGGCTGACTGGTGGAGGTACCTATGGCGGAGATCCTAGGTGGCCCCTCTACTAAAACCCAGGGTTAAATAAGCAACAAATCACGATGCAATCGTTGTAGCAGATTTGAACCATTTTGCCCAAACACTTGTGTTTGATCCTGAAACATTGGTTAGTTTGGTTTGCAGGATTTTGTTTCACCATCGAAATGAGGTAAACTGGGTGGAATTTTTGCGTTAATGTGCAACTGATTCAGACATCACACGATCGAGCTGTCACGCCACTTTGCGACCTTCGTTGTGCTGGAATTCCTGACGCATGGGAGGATAGGCAGATAGAATGGATGTATTTACTAACCAACGCAATAAGTACACAAAATTGCCATGGCCACAGACAGATAGATCATTGTATACGTTCACGAAGTTGGAAGGGCGGAGAGACTACTTGAGCGAGTGTGTGACTGTCGGTGAGGTCAGCAACACAAAATTGTATTAACTGATTGTACTTGACCTTCGAGGGGTAATTAGAGCACATCTCGACCTTAAAATGTAAGCATCAACTAGGACTTCCAAAATGTCGAGCAGAAGGACGTGTTTCTAGAGTTACAGACATCCTCCGCATAAATTTTTACAGCTCTGGAAGTCTTGAATGGGTCTTATTTGATCAGGGTTGGATCTGTGGGCAAAAACCATCCCTTTAAATTCATCAGGCAAACACCAAGTATGGTCCATTTAGAAGAGAAGTCTTTCTTTAATTATATCCTAAATAACTCTCGTTATGGTCCTGATGGATTGCTCTTCCTCAACTTCAACCCTAACAGTCGTCTTCGAATTTTGGGAGTCTCTACAAAAGCGTCGCAACTGCGATGCCCGAGGAGTCCCGTCTGCTGTACAAGATGCGCCATTTGAATTCACTGCCTCACCAAAGGAGCTTGCATCTTGTAATTTCTTTTATGTATGAAGTGTACAGGCATCCTTAATCATTTGCCAACAGTTTTCATGTCAAATTTCGCCCTAAGATTTTTGAGGCATAGGGAAGATGGCACTTCACTCAAATTTAAAAAAAACTGCAATTCCAAAGTCCATGCCAACCTTCCACACAAACTACATTATTATTAAATCACACAGACAAATGATCAACTTTAACATGCTCATATTTCGTTACTAGCAAAAATTATTCTAGCACTTTGTTTTATCTCGTAAAGTCTCCTCCTCAAATGGTATAAGTGCCATTTCTTTCCATTCATTGTGACTTTGAGGACGCTTATTTTATATTTATCCATGTTTTAATGACTTCACGCTTTATGTATGGTGTTTTTTGTGATTCTTATTTGAATATCAGTGTAAGTAGCTAAAATATGAAGGAGAGACAGTGGATTCTGCTTCAGCTAGTTCGTAGCCTGTGAATGTGGTGCGCCACCTTCCCGGCTACCAATGGCATCGCGAAGACGCCGCGTCATCAGCGGAGCCAGGAGTGCGCAACCGCGGCTTTATGTGTGGAGCAACGGGTTTTGTGAAGCAACATTTTCATTCGTGGGTGTCTTTCACGAGGCGCTTGGCTCAATTCACAAAAAGCAACTAAGTGAGTCCCTTCGTGTAACTCCAACATGCCTTTTTACTCAACCACCACTTCTTCGCGTCTTTAAAAGAAGTCCCCAAATTAACCTTTAATTACCAACCCTTCAAATCTTAAAAAATTTTGATGATTTCACACAAAGCCAACATTTCTATGTAGGTTATTTCGACTTCTTGTCTTCTTGCCTGGTTAACTGACCTACTGTTTTACCGAAATGGATTAAATGTGCACAAGAGGATTCATCAATTAGCGCCCCTGAAGGTGCGATAAGCGCCTTGAGCTCATTAAGGTTACAGAAATCTTACACCCGCACCTAGGCTACGGAGATGTAGGTCCAGCCTTTGAAAGTTCAGACTCCAAGTTAGGATGCACTAAGAATTTCATTATTCCTACTTAGTAAACCGTTGACTATTTTTTCCACATATAGGATTACTTTTATCTATTTTGTAAAGAGAGCCCTATGACTTGCCTTACTCTTGTTCAGAGGGCAAAATTTGGCTGTTCCTTTGCGAAACAAATTTAAATTTCTCCACTTTCTCCCAATTTTAAAGTCATGCTCCTATCTTCTGTCTGTCAATCGCAAGCAAGTTTACATTCACACTTTTTCACTCATGAAAATCTTTAGAGATGGAGTTTATGAAACAGTAAATTCTGCGATTAAAAAGGCTACAAAACAGTAGAAATTTGGCTTTCCTACACTTTACGATGGCCAAAGCTAGATTTGCTATAAGCTTTGACTACTAGTAGTTACGGTAACTCGTTGTTTATTTTTTTATATTTCCCCTGTCAACAGAGACACATGGCCCTTTCGGGTCGTTATCAATGCCGCTTGTTATCAGCGGTGATAGTGGTGGGATGTACGATTTTAATATGGCACCACATCTTCAAAGTATCCTTCCAAGAGGACGGGTTGCCATCAGCCTCTCGAAGAAACGCCGACGTTGTTGAGTACCATGAGAGCATTGCGGCCGCCTTCTTCTCAGCCATCAATTCACCCAGGCACAAGAATTGTCACTTCTTCCGACACCGATTCCCTATTAAACCGGATCGAGATGGAGATGTGGACATTGCATTTACCATAACAGTGCAAAACGACGTGCGACAGGTCGCTCGAATCCTACGAATGATCTACCGGGTGAACAATTACTACTGCATCCACCTGGACAAAACGTCCGACGCAGCATTTGAGGCGGCAATAAGTGGTGTAGTTTCATGTTTCGGTCCAAATGTTGAGTTAGTTCCACACCAATCGCGTGTAGCCTTTAGGCAAGGTGATGAGAGTGCTTTACAGATTCAACTTACCTGTGCTGAACAAGCCCTGAAACGCAATGGGAAGTGGAAATACTTGATCAACATTGAGGACAACGTTTTCCCCTTAAGAACGAACTTGGAGACTGTGGCTATCGTAAAAGCTCTTAATGGATCCAATCTGGTTGAAGCCTTTTCAATTGACCGCTTCAAATCAAGAACCAGAAATAAAAATCTACCCTTGAATGTAAGTTAGTTTTATGCAAAATTCGCCTTAGAATTCACTGAAATCTTAAGCCACCATCGATGTGTGCACTAGCCTATAAGATTTTACAGCTATGGTTGTTTAAGAGTTGTTATAAGTGTTTTTTTTGCTTTATTTCATAAGAATCCACTATTAATTAAATCAAAGTGTCTAATAGTACAGGAATCCCTACCTTGCTCGCATACTTTCGGACAAAATTTGCCGCTTTATTTCGCTAATACGTATTTCTCACGTGAAATTTTTGTTGAGTTTGTCTAATTTTTAAAATCGCACAAACTTTGATGGAACTGCCACAGAGTCGTAGAGAAGACCTTGACACTGGAAATTCCATGATTAAGCCTGTTCCAACAAAGGCGCTGCGGACTTGCTTGATGCCTCGTCTCGTTTACTGTGCTTACCTTTACCTACAAACAATTATCAATGAGAAATGAAATTATTAAAAATTAAGTATTTTGGGATTTAAATTAGGTTTTCTTTTCCTGTGGATCTCTAAAAAGCAAGCATTTCTTGACGGAATTCGAGAATCTTTTTTTCCAGTGGCCTAAAATTTGTGCAAAGTTCAATTTTGGTTCAAAGTTACGAGTTTTTCTTATAATGGCATTTTTAATTGCTTTTTATTGCTAAAACATCTATTTTTTCATGCATTTTTGATTTATTAGGTCTTTTAATCTTCGGTCCCACTGTTGATCACATTTTGAGTAGAAGTGAAAACCTGTCACGTGTCTCTAAAGACTTACACCGAATGGGTGTCATTGAGCCTTTTCAGTGGTCTGTTGTGGCAATTGTCCACTTTTTAGTGCCAGTTGTATTTACTTGGCGAAATCGCCTTGTCTACCACTTGAGTATGAGACGCCTCCATTTCCAAGTCGCTTTTTACCATGAGATACAGTGGTTTTACGCGACGCTCTAGGAGGAATTAACAAAATAGGTGGCTTTTAAACATCCTTAGTACCTTTTAATAAAGGAGTTTAGGTATAACTTGCCTCGTATTAGCTAATTTGGTGGGTCATCAATTCGCCTCTACGCTACCCGGGAATTGCTCATAATCAAAAAAAAGATTCCCTATCGTTTCTCAATTCTTCTTTGTTTTCATTTTGCGAAAATGTTGCGTTCGACTAGTTCAATTTTCCTTGTATCTGTTTGACTACAGGCCACTTGGTACAAGGGTTCAGTCCACGGAGTTTACAGACGAGAATTTCTCCAGGAAGCAGTTTTAGGCGAAGCCGTGGCCCCAATTCGAAATTTCCTTCTTCAACACCAAACTATTCTCACTCCAGAAGAGTTTTACTTCCCCATTCTAGCCTACAATCCTCAGTTACGTCTGCCCGGCGCTTGCCAGGTGGTTCCTAGTCCTCCTAGCGAAGTGAACATAGGCTTTCTTGCCAAATTCATCATCTGGGGTGACTACGGAGTTCGCTGTACCACAAAATATGTTAATTACGTGTGTATCCTTGGAAATGAGCACTTGCCGGTGCTGCGAATGACCTCGCATCTCTTTGCGTCCAAATTTCTGCCAGACTACGAGCCGGAGGCCTATGCAAGCTTGGAAGAGTGGTACTTTGCTCGAATCAAGGCTGAATTAGAGAATAAAGCGCTTTCTGACTCAAGCTTTGATGCAACCATCTATGCCAGCCTCTCTTGCTCACAAAAGCATGTATAACCGTTACATCACCGCTTTTTTATAATTTATCATAAAACCTAATTTTATAAAAATACATTTGTGCTTCATGATAAGTTTAGGCGAAAGAACTTTATCTTGGGCAGCATCTCATACAGTCATTGTATCTCAAATACCTCCTGGGTTAATTGTAAAGACCTTTTGTGTAACTAAATCGTAATTGGAAAAAATAAACAGAATGATTGGAAAGCTGGGAACAGGAGCCTTATCTTTTTTTCGAAAATGAGCCTGGAACTCTTCGGATGTTTAACCTTCAGAGAATAGCAACTAAATGGAATTTTAAGTGAGAGCATTTTTTTTATTAAAAAGGGCGAAAACTGGTGCTAAACCTGCTACGCGGTTACTGTTGTGCCGTCTCTACGATATGAAAACCCAGCACTAATACAAACAGCAGACTCCGGATTATCTGCTGTAAAATGTGACACTTAGCAGAAGCACTCTTTGTCATTTGCACAACGCGAATTTGGAATACGGTGGTTAATCTTAATTTCCTCTTTGATGAGGCGTCCGCTGAGGGCTGAGTGATTTGCCAATGAGAAGACACACACCAGTGTCGGCTTTACCGGACACTTAGAATGTCGTGCGCAACCCTTGTGGATCCTTTCAACATCTCCATTGGAGTTCATACATCCCTCCGGAGATTTACTTTCCCCCATTAATTTGTTTAGGTGTTGGGATTACCCTCATGAAACAATTAAAATTTTTTTCACTGCTTTGGTGAAGACATAACTCTCAATCAAAGCAGCAACTGTTCTGGATGAGCTTAAACAAAATTTAAACTCGTCTAAATGTATCATGTTTTGCCTTTACTCTAGATTGAAAGGAATCGGGGTTGTCAAGCCTGGGGAGTATTTACTAGCTGTAAGCACAGCTTTATCGCCTTTACAGAACCCGCTTCGGTAGTTCACGCTAGATTGAATGAATACACTGTGATATGTCAATTATACAAGCTTCAAATGCACCATTTAACCTGGTGTCAATTCTTCACAAACTTTAACCTTCACCTACCTGCTCGAACACAAATTGATTTCTCCCGTATTGCTGACCCACCCGCTCTCCCCATCGGGTATCAATCACTTTTGATTGATGGATCAAAACAATAAGCTTTATTTTCATGCTCGTCTTTGTAAAATCTTACTCTGTCATTAAAATGCAATTTCACTTGAGGAAACAAAAGGTGTGTCGATGCCCTGGTTTATAACTATTATTCAGAATTAGCCTCCAAGAGGCGTCACTCGGAGGAGGTTGCATCCCTTAGGTAATAAAATGTTAATGATACCACGAGGGTAATATATGCTGTCCTGTGCTTTTGACTGATTTAACATTGTTTCGTGAAAGCAGGCTTTCACCTTCATTCCGCCTTGCCACGTGGTTCTCACTACAGAGTTATTTAGCCATATCTATGTAAGCTCTACCCAGCCAGAAGAAGGGTAAAGGGGGTTTCACGTGTTTACTTAACTGACGCCTTCATCCAAATGCTATAGGAAGGTCTAACAAAACTAATCCAGATAAATCATGGGTGATGCTGATTCTGTTATTAATTGCTTCCGTGCAGAACACGAAATTAGGGGTTTTTTTGCTGAAGATAGAAGTCACTTACAGCCCTACTGTTAAAGGTCGCTACAGTACCCGCACTTCTTCCAGGGGAGACGTCCTCTAGGAATGGGTTTGCCTTCCGCTGCCGGAAATATAGCGCTCCAAGACTTCCCTAAAGACGAAAGAAGACATAATACTTGGAAAGAATCCATATGTATTCAACATACAGTAAGTAGATATGATGATACAGTTAATTATAAATTCCTTGCATATATTTGTTTTCTTTCATCCCTCCATAGAGGCCTTAAAGGGAATCAAGACACATATCCTCGTCAAAAAGAGATGGCGTTGATGGTGGCATTTGATGCAAGAAGATGCAATAATGCAAGCCTAGATTATACTTGTTATATAAATTATCCACATTTAAGGTGCCGGAACCCACAGGAGGGAAAGGCCGATTTCTGGGTAAATGACATATGTGCTTGCTAAATCACTTTAAGGATGTGCAATTCGCATGGGACATTGTGAAATGTCTTGCTGCATGCAGATGAAATCAACCGCTTTCGAGGCTGATTGTCATTGTCAAAAAGTGAGTGAAGTAGAAATGAAGATTGTTTGCTCGAAATGAAAAAGAATATTATTAAATGCTGCCGATATAACTAAGGTACTTAATAGTGAATAATAGGGTGAGTAGATGGAGCAATTAAACATGCCATAACTCGACTGCCCGAGTTAGCATTTTTGGATTTACACCAAAAAGTGCCCGGGTTCCGTGCAAAACCGCTCATGGAAGCATGGAGTGGGTCGCCAAAAAATTTTGAATAGATGATTATTGTACTACCGTTTTTGTACACGAAGTCGATGACACCTCTCCACATGCATGCACGTCATCGTAGATCACAATCTCCAGATGAACTGACCCAACGGCGACCAAGCCCATTTTCAGATATGGAACAGCCATCAAAGGAGTCTCTGAGTGGACTTCAACACTGTCCACTGACTTATTTCTTCCGCTGTCCAATGACTTGTGTAAAACCAGTCCCATCCCAAGCGTCACATATTTACCAACAGTGCATTCGTAATGACCCTTCAAATCAAACTGAGCAAGGTAGGACAGCAATTCTTGTGATTTTGTCCAAACTACCATATCCAAAAAATAGGCTTCATCGGTGGATCTCTTCCTGGAGGATATCATGAAAGAACTCCAACCATCCACACTTCAAAGAAGCACCTGAATCTATTCAGCTTTGAACGACGAGGTAACACTTGTCCAACTAGATCAGACCACTCTTCTAGACACTCCTCCATTCCCACCCAGAGTCGCCTTCCACGCACTACAGCGCAAAATTGGCCATCAAAAGCGTCTACAATTGGCATCATTGCCATAACTTGAATCAATGTGGGGCTAACAGCCCATCTCGGGTAGCAATCGTGCTTGACGGTCACCAAAGAGGCTGCTGTGTGGTATCCAAATCGAGTCCAATTTCTTTGCATGCTACTTACTTTTCAGGCTCATGCAACGTCACCTCAGTTCAAACGACCTTGTGCGGCTTATCCCGTCTTCGACTACATGTCCAACGTAGCCCTCGTCTATACGGCAAAGTGTGCTTAGCTGAGCTGGCACAAATCACCATCACGTTGTTATGCAATGGTTAGCTCTACTTTTCTGACTGGTTTTTTCACTAAACACACTTTGCATCGTGTGGTGCGTCCCTCAGTCGCCGACCAAACGTTGATGACAGGATTCATGCTCGCACGTGTCTAGCAATCTGAGCTGCCAGAAAGTGACAGCTTAAAGGCCAAGGCTAAACTATTTATGTCATTTCAATGGATCTTTTTGTGGAAATAAGCATAAAGCGGTAGAGTGGAAAGACCTCCAATAAATTATGAATAGTTCAAGTGTGTGTCAGGTGCAGATGTTCAACACAAAATTTCACACTTTCTTCTAGGATTCATGGTTCACCCGCTGGCATCTCAAATTCAAATAGCATATGGTCGAAATTTCTGCTAGTTTCGGGGTCTACGGCCGCGCTTAGTTTCAACATACACATCTAGTGAACGCCAAGGAAATGATTGTCGTCTTGGTCATTTGAGCATAACCTCTCGGAGTAAGTGTAAAAAATGCCCACCTAATCGCTTAGGACTGAAGATTTTTCCAACAAGCGCACCTTTATCGAAAAGCTGGAGGAGCTCACAAAAATGAATTTAAAAAAAAAATTCACCATTTAAAACTATTCCAAAGCCATGAGGAATTTTCCTGGTCAGTCTGTTTCTACTTCTGTCTTCAACCGTCTTTTCGATTTTGCATTCATCACTTTGAATACGATTGTTTATTACTAAGGAAAAGTCAAAACTGTCCCTTTGAAAAGCATGAAGTGCAAATTGGCAGCAGAGTTCTATCTTCTAGTATTAGACACCGCTATCAATGACCAAGAATAGGATCTTCCTCCAATAGCTTGCGTGATAAGATGTGGCTCCCCCCGAAACGGGTGTATTGGCACCTTTGAGTTGAATTAGGAACGTATTCGTGAGCTTCTACTGAACCGTACCGTTTGAAGGTGTGTATGACACTGCAAAACGCATAGAATATACAAGTTGAAATGTTGGTGATTCATGATTGACGGTAAACGCCGCAACACAGACTTTTTTAGTGTTTCCTCTGGCAGCCAATATTGTGCGGAGTCAGTACTCACCACCCACGACTCAGAGTTCACTCACTTGAGAACATGGTAAAAGTCACACCTCTAAAAGAAGAACACAAGCCTTTACATTTGAATGATGTATAAGAAATAGGTTAATTCAAAGTGACATCTTGCAAGGCTTCAAATCATAAGAAAATCGTCTGCACGAGTAACTGGATGGACTAAGGCAGTGTGGTAGTCCTCTCCAGTGCAGGCTTATGCTTCGCTCACCCTGGCAACATAAAACCCAACTCGTGGACTGAACCAATCTTTCTCATGCTTATTGGGTTGAGATAGCCTTGGATCTCCCATCCATTGTTTCCATTTATGCAGTCGAGTTCACTTAAGTAGTCACTTTGCTAGTCCTCGTGGCGCATTAGGCCTGAGGCTGAAGTTAGCGAGATGACAACGTATCTCTCAATTGTGTTGCCCATGCACTGAGCAACTGTTAGTGGCTCAGTGACAGGTTTGGAATGACCCGACTGGAAGATAACAAAGCCTCTCCGTCAATAACTGATAGTAGAGTTTAAATGTCGGTGTCGTGAAAACGTTGAATACTTCAATTCAACAAAAGGCCTCGGTTTAGTACTGTAATCTAAATTACCAAAGAAGCCTACTTTTTGGTTTTAAAAATGCCTTAGTATTGCAAAATTTAAAAAAAGAACTTAAAAATATTATATAGTTTATGTGTAAATGGTTAGCAATCCCGCCTTTTCCTTCCCTTCTGGTGGTTTTGGATTAGCTACCTCAGTTGTGTCACCGTATTGTTCGTCATGACATGCTTAAATAAACACCGAAATAATGAAGTCTTTTATGTTGATGCCACCTCAAAAATGCTCCAAAATACCAGGATGGCTAGAAGAATTTAGGCTCTGACCCGTCTGTTTGATACTTTTTTTCCCCTGGAGGGTTCATTTTGGTCCCTGACGGCTTTCAACAGACCACCAATAAGAGCTCGGCAAACCTCTGATGATAATGCCGTCAGAAAATTGAAAGGTGTCTAATTACCCCCTTTGTCGAGCAAATTCCAACCAATCAGTTGCTCTAGGATTTTGCCAAGCTGTACAAACACAATGTCGAGGTGACATTTTGGTTAGAAACTAAATGGATCGCAGACATGGATGCGGTAAGACAACACTTGAGGAGACAATTCCATCCACATTAATGACTTGAGCCAGACCGCCTACTGGTGTCACCACAACAACAGCGCGGTAAAACACCGAGCACCTAACGACCACAGACATCTTTTCGATATGAAATCTAAGTGAAGCATATTTAGATGTCTTTGTTTAAGTAACGAAGCACCACGGGAGCAGAATGTTTCCAGTAATGTGAGAAAAGTGTGTGCTTGAACATTTGTATCAGGACTGGTAAAAGTTTCGAGGAACCTTCACACTAAGTTTTATTTTTTTTATTAAAATTGGAAAAAATCTAACAATATTTTTTCGGACTGCAATTAATATTTTTCAACATTTAAGTTGTTTTACTAAACAAAAAACTGATCCATTTAAAGTACGTGTAGCAGCAGTAACTTGTGATTTGCCAAATCGCTCCTCTGGGACTGCCTACCGTCGCACGTTATGAGCCAGTCGTCAGGAGATACCAAGGAATGGGAGGTCCTGAGTTCTGCGTCGACCGATGAGTCGTCAGGTGGGTTTTTGGATCTCCCACTTTGTCCTTGTTTCATATATTTGTGTCATTTACCATCATGTAAGGACTTCTGAAAAAGCATGAAGTGTTTTTTTATCAAATTTTTAGATGAGTCTGTCAGCGTGCCCGATTCCCCGATAAAGTCGTTTGAAGTCCTTTCTGCTCCTGTATGGGTTCTCAGACGTTGGAATTCAGTACCAGCGAATTTGAATTACGGATTAGAGGCAGAGTCAGATTCGAACGAGGGTTCACCTTCTCGGACTACTTCTCCCGCTGAATCTGAAACGCCTTCTGAAACTGAGTCAACAGGTGAACCTGTTGACTTTTCAGTGCCGCGTGAGTGCGAACAGGCCTGGGACTCAGAACACACTACCTCAGAAGAATATACAGACGACACCAACCTGACATCGATTCCATACCCCGATTACCTTTCCGAGTCAGAAGAAACGGTACCACCTTTCCAAATTAAATCCGCTCCTGACGTAAATACGGTGTTGCACGAGATTATTGAAACTGTAGTTAGTGTCAGGAGCCCGGCGTCAATGCAGCAGATATTCCTTGTTGTTAACAATCCAGATGTTTTTAAGTCTATGGAGGCCGTAGCTCGCATCTCATATCTGCAGTGGTTTGCTTTTTTTTGCAACTTCTGGCCTATAGCTATGGAGAGGTACCGATGTAACTTCTGGGCACTGCCTGCAAGTCTTCTACAGCAATACGGCAGATTTTTCAAATCAACGGAAGAGTTGTGCCCATCACGATACCCAATGATGAAGCAACTTTTGAAACCGCGCTTGCAGAAAATTTTGGATTTTGATCCCTACAACCGATACGTGTATCAACTGTTGTGCTTCACGTATCGTGCCGTGTTTCTGTTTGCGTAAAATTTTATAATACACCTTCTCTATTTGATATTGTGTGCCTTAATAGAGGTAGTGACTTGTCAGTTTCAATAAGTTTAATGTAGGCGGGAGCGTAAATTTTTTGCTTCATCGCTGATAATTAGGCGGCAAGTACTTTTAAATGAGCCTAACTGAAAAGGATGCTGTTGTGGCAACTTCTGTTGATAACTCGCGAAGACGATTAAAAGTGAAGGTTTTTCTGCATTTGTGGAAAATATCCTGTTAGCTTTTTCGTACTCCATAGAATAATGCTGATAAAGCAATGTAGCTTGACCCAGCGTGTCAGCAGTCATCCAAACGATCTCATCACTTAGATATTTAGACTGAAAAATTGGGGGTTGACATCATGCCTCTGTGCTCATTTCGAACAGACAAGGCCCCGAATTGACCTCGCTGCGATGACTCATGTGTCATCGAATGAGAGGTCGAACGCGTCCCCATAGAATAGCCAACATCTGGCTTGTAGGGACCCTTTGATAATGCGTCAGATTGGAGGTGAGAGAACATGAGACCAACCCAACAGGCTAATCCTAATTTGGCCAAACAGTGTCCACAGCGATCATTCCTTCCTTCTTCACTTGCACCAGTAAAGCAGTCAATTTTGCGCGTCTTTAAACTTACTTCTTGGTTTAATTAGAAGATTTTTCTGAGTCTCTACCCGTGGACTGCAGCAAGTAACTTTTGAATATGGAAACGACGCACTGCTTGTGGTACAGAGCAGGTCTTATTTGAAAAGCAAATTTACCCACTTGCCAAAGATGGCAAAATCAATCTGACAACTTTGTGACAACAAGTCCAATACGCCCTATTCAGTTTTCACAATCTATATCGCAGATCCTGATAAGCAAAAAGTGCATAATCAAGGGACTGTCAGTAGGAAAGAGTTTTCTCTTGTCATAATCACCGCAGCAGTAACCGCAAAGTTGCCAAATTGAGGATTGTACGAAGGGAATTGTTGATGTAAGGGGAAAGTTGACTATCGTCAGATTGTTGCTTAATGGTGCGTCAGCAAATCCTTCCAATCCACTCAATTCGACATTCGCCTCTCGTTCGAGTCAATTAATTGATAACGGTGGTGAGTTTATTGTTAATGAATATTTTAATAGGTAAACAAAATCACCCCAGTAGTTTGTTTTCATTTTACCCTTCAATAACTCAGCCACAGAGTAGGCAGTGAACTTCCATTCGCCGTCTGTGGAATGACTTGCAGGGTGGCACCAGCGAATGCAACAGCTCGGGCCATCGGAAGGGTGGCCATCCTCTAAGATAAGATAATTTTTGCATGCTCAAACCGACCCATGACAGGCGTCGCACAGATGTCTGTGGTATTTATTTACACGCCATAAACATGAAGTTCGACCTTAATTTCGGTGATTGTGACTCATGCCTGCCAGAATACGCCGTCCGTGACCTGCGTGACCAAAGGCGCGACATCAAGGTGTGACAGATAGAGCTTGGTGATTACACCTTCAGGTTTGATATGATTATTTTTCACATTTTTAGTAGCTAATAGACGTTCAACTACTGACACTGAAGTATGCATCACTGCCAGCAGGTGTTCTTAATCCACCTATTTGGTCAGTTTCGTGGGCCACCGTGACAAACTGAATTGTAGAGAGCGCAAAAAGTGTGCATCCATTCTTTTGTTGATTCATTTTTGTATCCTTTATGCAAGAAATCATTCTACGTGGGACGATGTTCTATTTTTTGGTGTGCTGCTCCCAAATTGGGAACAAGTCGACTTAGTAAAGAACGCGTGGAAAGTTAAAATGAACGGTGAAAAATTCATTTTCATGGAGTGTAGCCCTGATCTGCAAAACTCAAATTCACAGCAAATACAAATGGGTTTGTGTTAATCGTAATGTGGCGTTAACCACTTCCTCTTCCGACACATTCCTTTGCTTCTGGTAGTGAATCGGTGGCATCCATACAGCGAACTTCAAAATAACTTGGTTTTAGCTACAAATTGCGGAAGGGAAGGACTTCTTTAAACTGCAAAAATGAAGTTGCAGCCACATCACGGCTCCAGAAGAGGCGAGCGAATAAAAATATTCTAAACTGAGTTCGAAAAATAATGGGAAACTTCGACTTGAATGACAAAAGTTTCGATTCAGCTACCAGCACCCATTAGATTTCCAGGAAAGTCAGTAACAATGAAATGGGAGAGACCCAATGCATCAACGCTGTTTTGACGATAAGGGTAGACTGATGGGCTGGCAGCTGTTGTGGACGAGGGCGCCTTTGTCGATGGATCATTCATAATGGCCAGACAAATGCAGACAAGATGCTGGTGAGAGCGCCACCATCAGCAGGCTGGTCTGTCATGGTTATCCATATTTAAGCTGATTTTGCGTGTACCAGAGGAAGTTTGAAGTTACAGTGGCCGAAGCGACACAGAAATAATAAAATCTAATGGTTGGTAGAATGACAATCTCCCATAAAATGAGGTATTAGACTAAGCCTGGAAAAATGAGGAAAAATGCACCTGCAGTGACACCTTCACTTATCCGCCTTCTTCGTCCCATGTGGCTTGATCTGGATCAAAGTCCCATAACAAGGGGGGATTCTTAAATGAGCGGTCTGCATTAACAAACGTCTCCGTTGAAGTATTCAAGTCAGTAGCATTAAAAGCCCTGCACTTGATGATTATCCATGAGTATCCGCCCAAGCCGCATTTTGGGCCAAAAACCGCAATTTCACAGTCTACTGTTTCTGTGTTGCATTCCTGGGTCAGCATTATGAATGTGACATTTGTTGTGCAGATAGTTGGAGGTCACCACCTTGACGGAACAGAAAGTGGGCTACTAAACGCTGTGATTTCAACAACAAGTCGACTGCACTGGTGAGCTGGACTGACCAACGGACCTCTATGAATTGTTGAATTGTGCTGACTAATGGTAAATTCACGATTAAGCCCAGGCGGACAATTTTCGATGGGGATCCAGGCTCTAAGCGAAAGAGCGGTAACTGTTCCACATTGAAGGAACTGACAATTTTAGAATTCTTGATATTTATAATAATGTTAATGTAGAACAGATGTTTGGGGAGTTGTTTTATGTTTAACAATCTCTCCCAAACAACGGCAATAAATCGTTTAGTAAGACAGATTAGTTGCTGAAAATTTATGAGACAGGGGTTGACTCAGCTTAACAAACATGACATTTATTTATTACAGATGCATAAATACTGGTGGAATGGGCTTACTGGGAAGTGAATGAAGACGAACATCATCCCCAAGGTTGTGCTGACTGCATTTACAAAAGCGACGTCTTGCTTTTATCACATACAAAAATATAATGAAGCGTATTGCATTAATAGGCCCTCATTTTATAAGGATGCGGTATTAATTGATGGATGAGAGGAATCATTTGTTATGTGCAAATATTTTTAGTCTTGTTGGGAAAGGAATTGGCGTCTTTTTATGCAAGGCGTGAATCATTTCCATCAAATTGGAGGTTTAATAACATCATTTGACGCAAGCCCAACACTAACTTGATTACATGCAACATGGGTGTGACAACTTCCCGAATATCAGTTTAAGGGGGCATGTTGTGACGTGTCTATCTACTAATTGACAATAGGAAGTTGTAGATGCCGGATATGTCACTATAGGGCATCTTTCTAACTATCCTATCACAGACCGAGGTCTGGTACCACATCTCTGTTCTCATTTGGAGCTGACAAGGCCCCGGATTAACCTAGCTGCGATGACTAATGTGTCGCCGAATAAGGGGTCAAACACGTCCCCGTGAAATCGCCAACATCTGGCTTGTAGGGACTCTTTGATAATGCGTCAGACTACGAATGAGTGGTTAGATAAAAATTAAAGGATATTTACTTGTGTACAGTAGAGAACTGTCTGAATATATCAAAATGTGGCATACCTGTGTTGCTGGAGCGATGGGGTTAGAAAATGGGACTATAACATGAACATGACGATCGTTGAACATTGGACACAGAGTTATGTTAAATGCGGTTAGAACAGAAACATCGAAGTGTTGGGAGCATACATTACATTGGAAGGAACACCGATGCGTGCCGTTGAAGTTGGCAGCAGTTGCTTAGCTGTTACTTAATGCGTCACCGGTAATATTATGAAAAGGCATCAACAAATACCTGTTGTTTTAGGTCGGATAATTTTAACTCAGACGCAATGAACCAAACCCAATTAAGTGTAACGGTTGCACCTCATCACCAAGGTGGAATTAAATCTTTCCACAGCTCTAGGTGTGTGTTGCAGATGGTAGTTTTCGATTCAATATTTGAAGATTTTGGGTAAAAAAACAAGCATCCTTATTTGTCTCTTTTGTTCCTGGCTTTTTTCAGCAAAACAATCATGCTCGGGATATGGATCAACCGTTTTGTGTGAGCTTAATGATATTTATTTATCCAATTACGTAACAGCTACTAAAAAGCTTTAAGTAGCCAAACACTAACCATGATGCCCATTGTAATTAGTGTTATTTAACTTTCACTACAATTTTTTTCCAAAAAGAATGATTGATAGTAGTGTGTAGGTATTTAGTCTAGCGTCAAAAGTGGCTTCACACCACCCACAACTGCCTTCGTAACACCTTCGTGCAAACTTGGCGACATCAAATCATTACCAACTAACTATCCATTTGCTGCCCAACCAAATCGGACTGATGCAAGAAATCCAAACTAAGCTTTCCAGCCTAATCCTTTATAATGCAATGTGAGCAAAATATTACGATGTTATCACAGAGAACTTTCCTTCCTACATATTTTAATACAGTCCAAAATTACTTCTTCCATGCACTTAGAGGAGCTCCAGATATTCACTAACTTACAAATGCAGTTGGATACTAACTGATTAACATCATTACATACTTTTATAGAAGGGAATCGTGCCGTAGGTTTCATTCTCTCTTTAAGACCCGTGCATTCACGAGTACAGCCTGCTGACAGCTGCATGATGAACAGTATAGTGCTACATCCAGCACACTGGTTGGCAGATCAGT